CGCTTTCTGTGTCGCTATCACGCCTGCGCCGACGGTCATTGCTGACGGTGCTTCGAGTGTCCGCACCGTAGTCCAGTTCGTCCCGATTGCCCCGTGGATCACCGCGGGTGCGATAGAGTCTTTCACGCTCTTCTTCCCGGTCGCGGCGTTCGCGGTCATAGTGACTGAGAGAACGAGTGCTTCGTTCACGATCACGATCACGATCACGCTCGCGGTCACGGTCACGTTCGCGGTAGCGGTCCCTATCTCGGTCCCTTTCTCGATCACGTTCTTCTCGCCTCTCTCGTACCGGTGAGAGCCCACTAACTTTCCGGTAGGAACGCTCGCGGTCTGCCTGGGCTTTACGCCGGTCTGCCTCGTACGCATCTGGCTCCGGGGTACGACTAAGGCGACTAGAAGCGCCTCGCCTCTCGCCTCTATAACTACGATGATCACGCTCACTGCGGTCATAATGATCACGTCGGCTACCACGATCTCGGTCACGGTCCCGATCAGTGTCCTCTTCCTTCTCCTTTAGGCGGCGAATGACCTTGTCAAATGCAGCCTGTCGAAGCTCATCTGATTCGATGGCCTTATATTCCTCGTATTTTTCAACCCTGGGCCGCACTTGTTCCCAAGTATCTGTCTGTCGGACAGGAGGCTCCAGACGTTTAATCCGCGAGCGTAGGGCATCAACAGCACGGCGCTGATGACGATCAGCCGCATGCTTTTCCTCTTCAGTACGTCGAATTGCTTTATCCTGAATGCGCTGGAAGATAAGTTGAAGGATCTCTTGATCAAGATTAGCTGTGCGGCGATCAGCAAGCACGACAGCATGGAATTCCTCAAAGGTAGTCTTGGGCGTAACATCAAAGCGTTTGTCCTGTGAAAGGTGTGTTAGTAGACAGAGACATATAAGTGAGGGTTACTCACATCAAGAACATCCAAAACATCATTTCGCGGGCCTCGAAGTGACCGCTCTTCTTCCTCAACCACATCCCAAAAGAGATCTAGGGGGGATGAACCCGAATTACCCAAGATTCCAAGATAACGCGGGTCTTCTTTAATCAATGGGTAGATATTCATCCATTTGCTGCCGGCCTTGATCTTGCCCTGAGACCTCAGCTCTTTCAGAAGTTCAGTAAACTGCTCACGAGCATGGCGCTCTTTTCTTGCCTTTGCGGCTTTCTGTTGTTGACGCGCATCATTGAATGCCCGTTCAAGAGACTTGATATGGTTTTCAAAGACAGTCAAAATATCTGACTTGCTGAGGGATTTGAACTTATCGTCATTTTGCACCTGGTCATTTGACTGAATGATCGCATGCGCTTCAGACCACCGTGTGTACGGCTCGAGCTCGAGTGACTTCAAGATGTTCACCAGCTCATCCATTGCAGCTTTGCGCTTAACGGATTCCTGTTCGGCGTGCTCTTTCTTGAGTTCAAGAACGTACTCCTCGAATAATTGGCGCCTTTCATCCTCATCATCCGTAGATCTGAAGATAGTCTCGCCCTCAATAATCGGCCGAATGGTCTTCCAGCGACTATAATGCTTGATTTCAGGATGACGCTTCAGCATGGTATTGAAATCTGCTCTGAGCTTAGCGAATCTTTCTTTCGCCCGATCCTTTTCCTGCATGCGAACCTCGACCGCGTATTTTTCAAAGGCTGCCTTGCGGTCTTTGGGGTCTTTCAGAGCACGGTATTGAGGATCCTTAACCGTTGCGCGAATAGTTTGCTCCCAAGACCAATCGGGTTGTACATTGTGGCGTCTGAGCATTTTCATGAACGCATTTTCTGCCTCCTCAAGTGAGCCGTACTCTGGCTCTGTAGTCGCTCCCAACATAGGGGCAGCCACAAGCCCATTGGCATCACCAGAGCCATATCCGCCACGCCTATCACCATATCCTCGGTCGTAGTCGTCGCGTTCACGCTGCTGTGGATACGAGGAAAATGAGCTAACACCGCCTGCCACAAACGTTGGCGCCCTATGCGCATGAGTTAGTACGTGAAGATCCAAGAAAAAAGATATATAAAATGCTCTGAGATCAAAAGACATACGCTGCGGGCGGAGGTTGGGCCGTCTGAGCTTGCGCCAAAGCATTTTTATAGACATCTGGTATCTCCCAAGTGCTTTGCTTGGTCTCCGTATTGTACCAGTACTTTCGACCACCATCGGCAGTATACTCTTTCCATGGTTGATTCGCCAAAGCACGCTATCGAATGAGACAAGGTTAGTATATACAAACGTGGAGTATGGGAGGAAACGTACCTCGACGGGCGTCATCAACTCCGCAGGCTTATTCCATTGTGTGGCTTTTGTCTGGACATTGTAATAGTATACCCTTCCATCGGTGTTGCGAGCCTCCTGCCAAAGAGAAGGCGCCCCTGGGCCATTCATCGGATTCATAATGTTTGTGGAAAGTTCCCCAGAGGAACAGTGCTGTTGCTCAGATGGAACACGCGCGAAGCTCGAAAAAGTAGTGTCCGAAGCTCTGCCTTCGTTTCAATCAAAGATGTTTGTATTGTTTGCACCCGTGCCCCATACACCGAGCATCATCTCCGACAACCCTCGAAACTCTTTTTAAATTGGACGTACATTGACAGAGTCCATTGAGCAGTTCACTCTAAATTTCGTGATTGTCGCGTGTCGCTTGCTACCGCTAATCGGCAGATGGGTATGCGGTAGTTGTTCTCACAATGCCGAGCCTCGAAATCCCTGGGGAATTTCTAAGACATTCTGTGTTAGATACAGTTGTCCCGCATGCTTCAGATATAGATCTGGAGGCGGCGCTGACGTCTGCCTTGGAAGGGGGAGCGGATGATTTATCGTCTGTTCTCTCATTTGTACCTCAGCGCTCACTTCTATTCTTTGGTACGCAGATACCTGGTCTCCTACTCGAGCTGTCTCTTACTCATAGATAGTATTATACAGATGAGTTCTGCACCGCCCGCATCGTTTTGAGACTCTCCAACTGCTCGCAGGCGAGCCTAAAACAGCATCTTCAGCACCTGGAAGTGAGGCTCGACGTCTTCGCCATCGATCCAGCTGAAACAGTTGCTGAGAACCCTACACCTACTAGGGACCTAATATTCTCAGGGGTCGTTAACAGAGATGAAGAGCCGCTGGTAGTAGTGAATGAATTTGAAGGAGAGGCAGGGAGCGGTAACCATGTCTACGTGATTTGGAGCATTGAGACATTTCTCAGTATGGGCCGCCATGTCTAAAGTCTACTACTCATTTCACTAACCATGCCAGAACGCCCTCGCATACGGATTCAGCACCCCTCTCTTCTATTTATTGCATCCGTTAGCCTCAATCCGTCTGAAAGTCGACAACAGGAGTCCCGCGACGACGACTATCTTCCTTCATTGATTCCCGCATCTATAAACATTCTGCAGCCATTGTCGTCTGATAACGCTTTCCCACACAAGGATCCTTTTCTGCCAGCGTCTAGACTTCTGCGAGTTGTACCAGCACAAAATAGCGAAGATCCTATTTATAACGTCCAGCAACAATCAGGTCATCCGATACGGGTTGTGCCTGCAGCCAGTGCAAGGATACGATACTCTCGGTTGAATTCTTATTCTGGACGGCCAACAACCGTGGCAAGCCTTGATTTTGAGGTGACACCGTTCCTCAGTTGTGAAGTTGTCTTCGATAAAGCAGAACTCCACATGTCAGATGGGAAAATCGAAACCCTCTCTGATGCTTCAGAGCTAGTTCCGCCCATATCGTGTCGTCCACGGGATGACGTTACTTTAGTGTATAAACTGACACCAGAATATGGCCCAGATCCTAATCCCTCGACAACGGTGATGGTCAGCATCTTGGACATCCGTTTGGAGGCCACTATTAAACTATCAGACAATTGCAACCCGCAGATTCTGATGCAATGGAGGACAAATGTTGATTTTTCCATGGCCCTCAACCCTACGTTTGGTGGACCGAGTCAGGCTTTGCAACGGACCAACCGGCCCGCTAGTCTTCCTATGACGCCGAATCAATCCAACACTGCAACCGGAGGGCCTCCTAGCAGAAGCTCCTTCCGAGAAAGGGCGTATTCTGTAGCAGATATGGGAGTAACCGTGTCATTTTCTGGCCCTGCGAGTGTGGTGGTCGGGAAACCCTTCTCTTGGAACGTTTTCATTGTCAATCGGTCAACAACGCCTCGTAAATTCGCTTTGATTGCCATTCCACGAAGGAAGCGAGCCGATCCAAGGAGTCACGTAGCCCGACCATCGTCTTCTTCGCTCACAAGTCGACGGGAGGATCAAGTTGCCGAGGCCGTGACAGATGATAATATCGTTCATGCCATGCAGAAGAGTGTGGCAGGGCAAGAGGCCGAACTGGTCTGTCTGAGCACGGATCTCCGGGTCGGGTAAGTCTTACCTAACTGCGCAAATGATCTACTTATATTACAGATAGACTGATTCGATGTGTTTGGATAGTCCACTTCTACCAGGAACATGTTTTGCGACAGAACTAAAGCTGCTTCCGTTGGCAGTGGGGGCGCTCCATTTAGAGGCCGTGCGTCTTGTGGAGGTCAACACGAATGAGACGACAGACATCAAAGATCTCCCGGATATCCTATCCTTTGATAGGAAAGGAATACCACCTTAGGATACGACTTAGAGTACCGTACATACACAATATCGTCATGGAAGGCAGGAAAGCCTCCTGTGTTCATATAATCTAGACTTTCATGTGATTTAGAAACCGGCGGCTAACATGCAGGGAGAGTATTCTGGAGCAACACTTCCATTATTACATACTATTTATAACAATGGAAGCGATAATAAAAGACAGTAAAAGAAAAAAAGGGGCCAAAAATATATTCTCGGCTGGTAAATCTTACAGTGAACCAGTCTATTATTCAAACTAATGATTCGGCCCCAGAGACAGAAAAATTATGCAAAGCGGAAGGCGGCGGCAAGGCGGACACAATGACTGGGCAGCTGATTCAGAGTGGGATTGGATCTACGCGCCCGCAATACCACCACTTGAATTAAATAGGTACGGCAGCCTTATTGCCTCTTGACACTGACACACGACAATCTGAAACCCCATCAAGATTCCATCCTCCCAAGCTGGACAGGGTGATCGACCTTCATCACTAGCTATTTAGTGGAGACCTATCCCTCTGACGTCGGTCCATATTCCATATATTTTTACTGGGTTAGCGTTGTGGGTTTCTTGTCCGACTTGCCTCCCTTCTTTTGCCCTTGACCTCTCCTTTGCGTCATACTGGCTGGATCCCGCCGAGCGGAATCTTGCCTTCGCCTTCGATCCTTTTCCACTCCCATTATCTATTAATTTTCGGTTTTAATTAGCTTCACCATGTTCTCCGCGGCGCGTCGAAGAATTCTGGATGGACTCAACCGGAGATACATCTATGGCCGTTTGGTAAGTGTTAGAACATTCATGGCTTTTTTACAAACACCTTTGATATACAACCCGTATCTTTCTTGCACAACCACTGACAACTTATTAACTTCTTGTATATAGCCCTTGCTCCACAGCATAATCTTCCTCATCGAAATGGCGGTTGCGATGCGGTTGGCGGCCAAATTCAACTCCTACTATGCGGAGAAGCCGGGTAAGCCTCTTATTGGTACCTAAACGCATCAAAGGCAACAAGCTAATCCAGTCTGTAGTGTTGACTACTATGGTGACCAATGCGGTAAATATCCCTTATGATAGCGTCTTTGTTTTCGGCAAACACAACTAATCTTGAATTCTGTAGGTTCTTGGCGGAGTTGCGGATACAGTTGCGCAGCTGATTACGGCGTTCAGAACTCGACCGGGCCGACCGAATTATGATCCTGGTGATCTCATCTCAATCGAAATTCACGATCTTGATAAGGAGAAGCCACCGGCTCTTGGGGAGCTGGGCCACGCGAGACAGTTGCCTCCGCCTTTTGATTTTGAGCGACTGACCCGGTTCATGTCATATGGTTTCTTCATGGCACCGATCCAGTTCAAGTGGTTCGGATTTTTATCTCGGACATTCCCTCTCACCAAGAAAAACCCGACCATTCCGGCCTTGAAGCGAGTTGCTGTAGATCAGTTGCTCTTCGCGCCTTTCGGTACGGCTATCTACGGACTGCAGGATGCATGGGATGCTAACAGCGCTACAGGTCTGGTGTGTTTCTTCACCTTCATGACACTCGCTGAAGGCGGTGGGCGTAGAGCCTTGACCCGTAAATTCCAGGACGTTTACCTCCCTACTCTTAAGGCCAATTTCGTCCTCTGGCCAGCTGTACAGGTTCTTAACTTCCGGGTCGTTCCAATCCAATTTCAAATTGTAAGTTGTTGCATTGTTACCCCAAGACAACAATCCGAGACTGTATAAGGCTGACTTCATTGTTCTCTTCTGTAGCCCTTTGTGTCCTCTATTGGTATCGCTTGGACTGCGTACCTGTCCTTGACCAACTCTTCTGAGGAAGATTGATTAAATCACCTGCGATGATGACATGAATGGTTTCGGGTGGGTTTCGGATCGTCAGTCATTTCATATCTGCCGCTCTCTATTTTAGTTTTTCTTGTGTCACTAGATGTTTTCCGGGCGTTGTATATCATCGTTGGGGTTCTGCTGCCTTATTCTTATGGCTGGTGTCTAGGTCTTTCCCCTTTCGGTGGGACGGTTCAAAAGGTGTCAATTTCACTACTGGTTGTTTTCACACGCATATCATTAAACAAGGTGTAACACCATCTACACATTGTTTCACTGAGCTTTGTCATATGATTCTCGCCGTAGACGTTGAGGTGGTATAGTGCCAATCGATGAAGTGCCATGGATGATTCTTTCTGTTTCCACTCCTCGGATAAGGTAAGGAGAAATAGGCAAGAGGGAGGGGCAGGACCCCTCTACACTTACGTACGAGAACGGCAGAGCGGTAGTATATAATTCCATTACTTGAAGCAAAGCGATCTACATTAGCTAGATCCGAGGCTATCGAGAATGCAAACATCTAGAGGGCCCTGAGGTCCCCGGACCCTTCCGTCATCATTGACATCAGTCCCGCAACAGTCCGATGCGTCAGCGAATCTCTCACCGGTGGCCCCACCAAACGAGACAAAACAATGTGCCTCTACCCCGCCGCTGAACCGATCGCTTCTATCAGGAGACTGCTGTTCACCGTGAAACGTATTGAGTATTTCTAGTCTTCCCCTCGCTCATTTAAAAGGTACTCCGCCCACCTTCTTGCTGCTCTGACCTTCCACGCTGACCACCCCCACCTTTTGTGATAGAACATCGTCCATAATGTCTCTCTCCAACAAGCTTGCCATCACCGATGTCGACCTCAAGGACAAGCGCGTCTTGATCCGTGTATGTACCTACACCAAATGAAACCCGATCATTCGTGCGGACCAGCCAATGCTAATGTTTGACAACTAATAGGTCGACTTCAACGTCCCTCTCGATGCGGAAAAGAACATCACCAACAACCAGCGTATCGTCGGTGCTCTGCCTACCATCAAATATGCTATTGAGAATGGTGCTAAGGCCGTTGTGCTCATGTCCCACCTCGGCCGCCCCGATGGCAAGGTCAACCCCAAGTACAGCCTGAAGCCTGTCGCTGCTGAGCTGGAGAAGCTGCTTGGCAAGAGCGTCATCTTCGCCGAGAACTGCGTCGGCAAGGATACTGAAGAGACTGTGAACAAGGCCACCGGCGGCCAGATCATCCTCCTTGAGAACCTGCGTTTCCACGCCGAGGAGGAGGGTAGCTCCAAGGATGCCGAGGGCAAGAAGGTCAAGGCCGACAAGGAGAAGGTCGAAGAGTTCCGTAAGGGATTGACTGCTCTTGGTGATATCTACATCAGTAAGTTCTTTAGGATTTCCAATCGAGGTTTGTCTTCCTATGCTAACCTTTATCTCTTAGACGACGCTTTCGGAACTGCCCACCGTGCTCACAGCTCGATGGTTGGTGTCGACCTGCCCCAGAAGGCTTCTGGCTTCCTGGTGAAGAAGGAACTTGAGTACTTCGCCAAGGCTTTGGAAAGCCCCCAGCGCCCCTTCCTGGCCATTCTGGGAGGTGCCAAGGTCTCTGACAAGATCCAGCTGATCGACAACCTGTTGCCCAAGGTCAACAGTTTGATCATCACTGGTGCTATGGCCTTCACTTTCAAGAAGACCCTCGAGAACGTCAAGATCGGCAACAGCTTGTTTGACGAGGCCGGTAGCAAGATTGTCGGCGATATCGTTGAGAAGGCCAAGAAGAACAACGTCGAGATTGTTCTGCCCGTCGACTACGTGACTGCTGACAAGTTCGCCGCTGATGCCAAGACTGGCTATGCCACCGATGCTGACGGTATCCCCGATGGATACATGGGTCTGGATGTCGGTGAGAAGAGTGTTGAGCTGTACAAGAAGACCATTGCCGAGGCCAAGACCATCCTCTGGAACGGCCCTCCCGGTGTCTTCGAATTGGAGCCATTCGCCAACGCTACCAAGAAGACCCTCGATGCTGCTGTTGCGGCTGCACAGTCTGGTGCCATTGTCATCATCGGTGGTGGTGACACCGCAACCGTCGCCGCCAAGTACAAGGCTGAGGACAAGCTCAGCCACGTCTCCACCGGTGGTGGTGCTTCCTTGGAGCTTCTTGAGGGCAAGGAGCTCCCTGGTGTTTCTGCTCTGTCAAGTAAGTAAGCGAAACGCAAATAATGTGTTGAAAGGGGGAAGCGTCGGACAGTTTCTCTTCGTGTCCAGCATGTCTTCTCGCTTATGAGCGACGTTTAACTTTCATAAATGTAATGTACATGAGATGATAAATTAATCCAAAATTAGCCATTCTGTTCATATTTTTGTCATGATAAGGAAGGTTCTGATGATAGAGTGTTATAACATAGTGTTGGGTCCTAAGCTGTGATTGTTTTAGAGCAACTAAGGTTGGACGACGGAGCTCAACCTGGTGTGGGAGGGAGTTTGGATTCGTTTCACAATTATATTGTAATATAGGATACGTGACGAAAAAAAACTGTCGCCACCTCTTCTCGCTTGTAAGCCTGCTGTCAAGTATCCCGTCATAGGTTGCCGCCTCACTGCACATCCTCAATCCCAATATAGTGCAGTTCAAAGAAGACTTGAAGTAAATTCTTCGAGCATCGAGATCTAGCTTAGCCCCGTTGTGAGGTTATGTATAGCGTTTCGTCTTGATATAATTGTAATTCCACGGTCAATTAATTCATTGAGCTGTCATTCATCTCGCGAACCGATACCACGCCACTCTGCATACTAACGGGATGCTTCGACCTTCTTCAGTTCCTCCCTGCAATCAAACCAACAATATTAGTACCATATCATGAAGTAATGTGAATAACCACAGTGACACCGAGCTCCTAGCAACAGCTGGAGCTGGGGCCACCGTGGCCACCATAGGGGACCAATACGCACTTCAACTGCTTCGAGAAGTCCTCGGCCGCATCATCATCATCCCAGCTTTCCTCCCACAGGTGACCATTTGCGCCGTTCGCTGATCCAGATGCTTGTTCGGTTTCTTCTTGTGGCCAGTCTGCAGACAGAAACCGTCGGTCAGCGCAACTCTCATTTCACGAAGCAATCGAAGCTTGCAGTAACGCAATCCGGTCGCTGGTCTTCCTTGCTATTTTCACCGGGCGGAATGCACTGATATTGTCTGACCTTCAACGGGGAAATCCTCGAATTCATCGTCTTCCTCCAACACGGGGGGCTTCTGCTGTTGGGGTTGCTGCGAAGCTTCGGGCTTATCGTGGGATTGCGTTGAGTTCGACATGGTGGGTGGGGGTGAGAACGATGTGTTCGGAGTAGAAGAATAGGTGGTCAACCAGATAGGCTTTTTAAGTGTGGGTATTCAGGAATAGCTCGAATGGGAAAGAACCGGAGCTAAACAGGTGGTGATTATTAGAGTTGATGGGAGAGGGCTTTTGGTTGTTGCTTTCTGTAAAGAAGCGCAGAGAGCGATCGAGGGCTTTGGGTTGGTCACTGACGCCAGACACCTGAAAGCCAAGACCGACAATTAGTAGTAGTTAGTTAAGGCCAACCCGGTTTGTGACTAATTAACGTCCATTTCTACACAAAAAGGAAGTACACACCCTTTTTGAGGCTCTCGGAACTGTCGGAGACACTGTGGGTTTTGAGATCTCTTAACTAGTAATTCTTAAGTTCACAATTAAATCAAAAGGAAAAAAAAGCCCGCATAAAAGTTAAAGTAGCAAAACCAGGACTGATCGGATATACGCCTACCGAATTAATTCACTGAATGGGACCAAAGAAGAGAATGTATGCGTTCATAATATTCTCATTAAACCAAGGTATTAACAGTACTAGGTCCTTCCATCCACTGGCAGGTCATGGTTCTTTACCCTTTATCGCATGGCCGAATGCTCCGCCTCGCCGCCATAGTGGACCACGGCTCTACTCCGTACTTAACCCATTCATCTTACTTATCGCGGCTCTTATGACCATGACCTTCTTTTTCTTTCCTACATATTGTTCTTGATTTCCCGCTTTTCCTTCCTGTATCCCAGAAGGTTATGTTCCTGGAACCCTTTCACATCCTTGAACCGTATCTGATGGGAGAGTATACTATATTCTTCCCATTCTGTTTGCTTCCGTCTCTTGGGGTTTGCTCCCCTCCGGCTTGCGCTCTGACGTCTGAGAAAAATTGATTACGATTTCAATCCATCTTTCGTTCCATCTCGTATCCATTTGCGACGGTTCGCGCGACCTGCACCCTTCGCCATGCTCAAAGTAGGCTCGTGGTTATATGGCAAGAAGGCTGGTGCCAATGCCTCGACGCAATCTTTGGACTCGTTGGTTGAATTGCGGGACCGTGAGTGTTTCTTTAGCAATCGCCTCAATGTGCTATGCGTGCAGTGATGTACTGATTTGTGTCTCGTCGAATGTGTAGTTGAGGATGCTATGCGGGGTATGTACTTCTCATTTACCGTGGATGCCCGAAACACCGTCAAGATATATACTCATGTTATCCGAAAATAGCTGCAACCCTAATCCTGAATGATGACGTTGACGGCGCCGAAGATGGCCTTTCGGAAGGAATTTCGTCTTTTCACAATGTGTGTATTATCTGTGATGGAGGAGCATTACCACCGCTCTTTCGGATCCACAGCGACACTTTGGATGCTTTTACTTACAACCCCCTTTTCTTCATTTATAGCTTGGACGAGGGGTTGTTGCATTTATCCGGGCGACACTGGGATTTGAACAGGAGATTATGCGCCAAGGTCCGTGGATTCTTGGTCTCTCGGCAAGAACTAGGTTGATCACTGACCCCTGGCAGCATCGGAACGACTCAATACGGCCGAGACCAGTGCAGCCAATGATCAACATAAGGCTCAGCACAACTCCCATGCTCCTAACACTTACCACTCACCGATTTATTCGCCGGGCACCGAGTTCGCTCTTTGTCAGGCGATGGCTCAGCTCATGAGTGCTGTTGTGGGTGTGCTTAATGAGAGCCTTACAGAAAGTATCAAAGGGTTCTATAAAATGAGAAAGGCATACATCACGCTAGACGGCATCCTCAAGATGGAGCAGGCATATATGCAGTCAATTTCCGGTAGTGTGTCTCCTGCAGACCAAGGCGAAGCATCCAAACCCGACCCGACAGCCACCGTGGAGGCTAAAGGGCTATCCCAAAGGTTGTCTGATCTAAGTATCTCTCAGGATAGCAGCAAATCTAGGCAGTCGATTGAGTCATCGACGCCTAATCCCGCGGATATGCTTAGCCACGATCCCGATTCTGATATCTTCAAAAACCAGATTGATGTCTTCGTGCACTCTGGTTCTAACTTTTGTTTTGGTATTCTTCTTCTTGTTATCTCCATGGTTCCTCCGGCCTTCAGCAAACTGCTCAGCATCATTGGATTCTACGGAGATAAAGAGCGGGGACTGAGGATGCTATGGCAAGCTAGTAAGTTCAACAATTTGATCGGGGCACTTGCTGCTTTTGCGATCCTCGGTTATTATAATGGTTTCGTCCGATACTGCGATATTATGCCAGACCCAGTTCCGGGAGAGCAGGGCGACGTGCAGGGCTATCCTCAGCAGAGGCTCGAGGCCCTATTAGCGCAGATGAGGCAGCGATTCCCCAAGAGTCAGCTCTGGCTGCTCGAAGAGTCCAGGATGGAAGGGGCGAACAAGAATTTGGAAAGATCTCTGGAGCTTCTATGCGGTAAAGAACGCAGTCCGCTCAAGCAGGTCGAGGCTTTGCGGGTGTTTGAGCGGAGCTTGAATGCGATGTACCTTCACAAGTATGAATTGTGTGCAGAAGCATTTCTCGAGGTTTGAGCTCCTCTTCAAGCGGAACTTGTGTATGAACCTGCTAACGAGCGCTTAGTGTGTGGAGTTGAACTCCTGGTCTCGCTCATTATACTATTATATTGCAGGAGCATCTCATCTCTCCTTATACCGGAGCACTATCGTAACAGACGCTAAACAGGCTGAAGAGCACGCAAAAAAGCTACAGAGTACTTCCGCACTGCGCCAACGTTTGCCGGAAAGAAACGCTTCATGGCACGACAATTACCTTTCGACGTATTCGTTGCACGAAAAATTGCCAAGTGGGAAGCGCGAGCGAAGGAGTGGAGTGTGCCCCTTGTGGAGGCAGTCGGCGTTGATCCCATCGAAGAGATGATCTTCTTTTGGAACGGACATAGCCGGATGACACAAGCACAGCTAGAGGAATCAATGCAGAAGCTCGCCTGGTCCGAAAGCGACGAAAACAAGATGTGGTCCCGAGAAGGCCCCGAAGAGAAGGCAATTCTACAGCTATTGCGTGCCGCCAACTTGCGTGCGATGCGTAAACATGACGAGTCCCGACAATTGCTTAAAGAGTCTGTCCTCAACCATGACAAGTCTCTGTTCACCGGTCATCTTAAGGACAACTGGATTCATCCAGTGGCCCATTTCGAGATGGCGGCTAATCTCTGGATGGAACGTGCCGGTTATATAGCCGCTCACGATGCTCCGGCTACCGAGTCCAAGGCTGCTAACAACGAGGAAGTTACACCACTCGAAAGACAGCAGGTGCGGGAGTGCAAGGAATACCTTGAAAAGGCTGCGAGGTGGGAAAGCTACGAGCTGGACGCTCGTATTGGTCTCAAGGTGACCGCTGCCATGGAGGCAGTGCGCAAGTGGGAGAGCAGGCACTCTACTCCCACCAATTGATGAATTTATGTATTACGATCATATACATGTATCTGCATGAGCTCTCTTTGCAAGATATACGATGGGTAGAATATATGAATAGAGGACTACATGGTGGTTTGAGGAATTACCGCAACTGCCCAACAGACTATTGAAACATGGCTCAACTCATAGACAGCTTTGTTACCCCCTCTGTCCTACACAGGTTGCCTATGGCTTGCTTGTATTTGGTTGAAACGTTAATATTTCGTTCGAAGATATCGCGGGTACATTCTTGATTACTTATGAGTCAAGAAACTGCGCATGAGCGTCATGTTATTTAAGATGGCTTTGCAGTCCCTAGACGTCTCACGTGACACACGATGGACCCGGTCCACTTTTCTTGGTCTTTCCCCAGCGATCGTCCTTTTTAGCGTCCAAAACGCTCTCGGAAAATATTCCGCAGAGTGGTTCAGCAGGCTTGGCGAATGAGTTGAACGCGGATATTATGCCACTCAACTACAATTAGCTTTGAAAAAACCGAGCAGCGACTAATAAGATGTCACGATTGGACTTCCACTGGCATCCCTGGATTGCTGGTGACTGCGGGTGAATGATCATCAATACGGGCTTCAGCCGAGCTGCGACCCCACTACATAACTAACTTAGCGGCGAATGAATTTACCGGCAAATGAAGATGTGGTCGGACGTCCGATTACGGTCTCGGAGTGGTGACTCGGTTAAGACAGCTTTGTCGCCGGCCGTTGGAGAAGAACTTTATATAGTTCTGGTTCCTGTCAAAATCGCTCGAATTGCCTAGACTTTCGATTTTGCCTGGAACCAGTGACGTTTAATCACACTGCTCGGTTGCTCTTGTACGCCAATTTGCGTTTACCACTCCTGTCTCACCGGGAAATCATACCTTGGGGACTCTTCAATACCTTACAGAATTTTCTTGGCAGCCTGCGTTATCTACGTCATTTGTGAATGAAGCCATGACAAGAGACGAAGAACGCTCTTCATTGCATAGCTCTCTCGACGATGATAGCAATTCACTAGAGCAGCGGCGCACCAACTACGATGAACGGCCCAACACAGCGCTGGAGAAGCAGAGCACGGCGGCCTCTGCCCTGTCAGTCTTTGAACAACGCGCGCAGTCGGTAGTTTCAAGAATTCGCAGTCGAGAACCTGGTCAGACTGCACGCTTCACGCACCCTCTGACACATACCAAAACATCGACTGATGTGATTGTGGACTTTGATGGGCCTGATGACCCATATCTCCCGCTTAACTGGAGTTTTAGGAAAAAGGCTATCACCACTGTATTATATGGGCTGACAACAATGGGTATGTAGCTCTTTGCCTCCATAATAATTCTATAGAGTTCTAACAAAGCTTGAATTACAGGTGCGACTTGGGCCAGTTCGATGTATGATCCAGTGCCTTATTTTATGTTTTCCGTAATAGCATACTGACACAAGGACAGCTACTCCACAGGCACGAGACAAGTCGATGCGGAATTCGGTGTTGGCGAGGAAGTTGGTACTCTTGGTACAGCATTGCTGCTGTTCGGATTTGGTAGGTTCTAATGCTAGAAATCTCACCCACATTAAGGTATCCTTGGCTAATGCCACTTTAGGGCTCGGTCCGCTTGTATGGGCACCGTTGTCTGAAGTCTATGGGCGTAAACCCGCCGTTTTAGCCCCATACTTCATTGCCGCTGTATTCTCCTTTGGTACCGCTACCGCCAAAGATCTGCAAACTGTTATGATCACTCGGTTTTTCACCGGATTCTTTGGTTCGGCACCTGTCACTAACACTGGCGGTGTTCTGAGTGATATCTGGACCGCGGAACAGCGAGGAGCAGCCATTGTTGGTTATGCTATGGCCGTAGTTGGAGGACCGGTGCTGGGACCCATCGTTGGTGGTGCAATCGTTCAAAGCTATCTTGGTTGGAGATGGACTGAATATGTCAGTGCTACCTTTTATTCGTACCATCACCGACAGACTCTAACATCTATTCTTCCAGCTCACCGGTATAATGATGATGTTCTTCCTCCTGATGGACGTTCTGTTCCTAGATGAAAGCTACCCTCCGGTACTATTAGTCTACAAGGCCCAGAGACTTCGATTTGAAAGCGGTAACTGGGCTCTCCACGCGCGCCACGAGGAATGGGATGTCACATTCAAAGAACTCGGCAACAAATACCTCATCCGCCCCTTCCAGCTCCTGACAACCCCAATTTGTTTCTTGGTTGCCCTTTACGCCTCATTCGTTTACGGTATCATCTACCTCAGTTTGGCCGCTTTCCCCGTTGAATTCCAAGAAGTCCGAGGCTGGAATCAAGTTGTCGGCGCATTGCCATTCCTGGGATACCTAGTCGGAATCCTCTTCGGCGCGGCCGTCAACCTCCTCAACCAAAAGTTTTACGTCAAGCGCTTCAAAGCAAACAACAATTTCCCCGTTCCGGAAGCCCGCCTTCCCCCAATGATGCTAGGATCCGTTTTCTTCGCCGCAGGCATGTTCGTGTTCGGCTGGACCGGTCAACCAGACATTCACTGGATCGGCCCCATAATAGGTGCCGTGATGATGGGCTTCGGCTTCTTCACCATCTTCCAAGCCGCCCTCAACTATCTGATCGACACCTTCCAGAAAGTCTCCGCGAGCGCTGTGGCAGCTAATACTTTCCTCCGGAGTGTCTTTGCCGGCTGTTTCCCGCTCTTCGCCAGTATCATGTTTCGCAAGCTGGGTGTACCCTGGGCTGCTAGTGTGCTGGGCTTTGTTTCAGTTGCCCTTATACCCATTCCGTACTTGTTTTACATCTTTGGAAAGCGCATCAGAGCTGCTGGGGAGTGGTCTCGTGATTCTGTATATGGACACTGAGCGCCCGCTGTCTTCGTGACTAAATGATTATGACGACATCATGTTCAATAGATATGGTTGAGTAATGTTTTATTTCTGTTGATTCGTGCTTCATATACCCCTTGGCGAAGCAAGGATAAAAGTTATTGTTGTTTTCGTGATCCTCTAGAGATACCAGAGCTGTGACTTGGGATACAGGCGATTCTTTAATTACGGGACTGATTATATGCGAATAATAACAACTTGGTTTAATATCAATTATGGCAATGAATACAAATATAAATGTGTAGTCTCAAAATGAATAGTGGAAGGAAAGTGGCCCTGTTGGACAAAAGTCACAAAGGTTATATAAGATAAAGAAAATAGAATGAATGTGTAACAAAAGTCACCAATTTGGACAAATAAGTGAGGGATGGAGGCTGGTTCCGTTCTTTTTCTTTTTCTTTTTTTCGCTCTTCTTTTTCTCAATATTTGGTTTTTTCTTCTCTTGCTCTCTATCTCCCCTGTGTATTCTTTTGTTTTTTTTCTTTCTTTCTTTGTTTTTTCTTTTCTTTTTTGTTTTTTGTGGAAGGATGGAATTGGAACATAAAGGTAAGAAAAGCAAATCCTCAACCAACCACACCCCACAACAATATAATCAAGACTTCGTACTCCGTTTCGTAGTAAACCTCCTGGCCAAGGTAAGAGCCTTACCAAGAGGATTCCAATTGGCACTCTTCATCCTCCCCTTAACAGAGACAGACGGGACACGAGCTGTGCTCTCAACGGTCCTCGTCCTCTCCACCAAATTCTCCTGTTTGGCATTATGCAAAGCCAGCACAGCCAGATGGCCCAGGAAAGTAGGATGCTCGAGTAATTCCTCGAGGCGAACATGGAGACCTTCTTGCTCGAGACCCCAGGCCAGCTGGCCCATGCTGAAGATGTCGCCGCCCAGGCCGAAGAACGAGGAGTTGAGTTGGAAGGGCGGCCGGGGGGTCTCCGGGTGTCTGTTCGGGAGGACATCTTGCCAGGTTTTGTTGAGGATGTCGGAGTGGACGAGGAGCTCGGAGATGCTTCTGCTGTTGAGGTTGGAGGTGAGGAAGTGCTCTTCTGTTGGTCTGGGGAGGTCGTCGATGACTTGGCAGGGCAGGGAGCGGAGGGTGGATGGTGAGGGGAGGGCGATTTGGGGGTTGGTGATGAGGCTGTGTGCGGTTTCGCAGAGCATGTCGAGGATCTTCGCGGCGAAGGCGGTGTTGATTGCGCTTCTTTCGGAGTAGGCGAGCGTGATGTCCAGCTTGCCGTCGCCTGTTGGCTTGGATACTACCGTGATGTCGGTGAAGTTGTCGACGACGCCCACGCCGCCCATCCGGTACATGTTGTCGTCGAGCTGCATGTGGCCCTCGTACTCGACGTTCTGGTGGAAGACGGAGGTGGTGAAGAATGTGGAGTCGGGCCAGTCGGTGCAGTTGCGGATTATTTCTCTGAATCCCAGGGACTCGTACGGCATGTTGGCGACTTGTTGATCTTGGAGGTAGCGGAATATGTCGAGGCCGGTCCAACGGTCTCCGAAATTGACTCTGACTGGGATCATGTTAAGACAGGGTCCGACGGTGCTTTCAATACCCGGGATGGCTGTGTTTCGGCCGCTGATGGTGAGGCCGAATACGACGTCGGATTGTGCAGAGAGCTTGGCCAGTGTCATGGCCCAGGCTGACTGCATGACCGTGGCGAGCGTGACGTCGCCGATAACTGTAGCTGAGATCTCGATGGCCTTCTTCTGCGCCGTGAAAGAGCCGATGTGTTGGAAGTTGTTGGGTGTCTGTCTTCTGATGATATCGGTCATCCTAGAGCCCTGTAGAAGTGTCGACCAATGCTGATAATGTTCTGGAGTGATACTGCCAGGGAGCATGCGCATGTAGTTCGAGAAAGAGGATGTTGGGGGAATAGGGCTGCCCTCGTAGCCCATTTTGATGGCCGACATGATTCGTGGCAGGCAGACGCCGTCAAACTGAGTGTGAGACATTCTGATCAGGATACGATGATGATCGGTATTCTTCTTCTTCACGACGTAGAACTGCACATATTGTTCGCCTTGTCGGGGATCCTGTTCTCGGTCACGCTGTTGTAGGGACTCAGTGTACTCATCCAGACTCTGCTCCGTCTCGTGAACGACAATCATTGGCCGCATCTTTCTCAGCACAACCTGGAAGAATTGGCCATGGAAGCAGACAAACACGGTCCGAAGGATATCGAAAGCGTCGACAACTTGCAAGAAACTTTCTCTAAGTCGTCTAATGTCCAATGGACCTTTACCATCAAGGAAGAAGTAGTTCAACATCCACCTGGACTTGAAGAGACTTGCGGTGATTGACATAGCCTGGAAGTCTGTAACGGGGAGAACGTCGGCAATTCCACCTCGGAAGACACCAATCTTGGAGCAGATGCTGGACTGCAAAGATGAATCGTCGATTGGCACAGGCCGCAGCACGGATATCTCGTCGGGTGAAACTGCCCTGGTGATGACGACCGGTGACTCTGGGACTTTCTCACTGAGCTGAATGGCCTGTGTATGAGTTTCAAACACTGCGGGTGTATCCTTAGCAACGACTATGGCCAGCATATCCTCGAACACCGGATTGCCGAAGACATCTGCTACACTCAACGAGAGACCTTCCTCTCTAGCAGCGCCAACCATTTTCATAGCAGTTATACTATCGCCGCCTAGCTTGAAGAAACTGCCTTTGCGGTTGACAATGCTAGGAGATAGGCCTAGTGCAGAACTCCACAGCGACCATAGCCGTTTCTCAAGGTCAGTTGATTCCCTAGTATCTGTTGACGTTCTACTACAGTTGGTCAAGGTCAGCGTAGAGTCAGAAAGATTCCCTTCACGAGGCATCCGTTTCGTTGTGAATGAACCCTCCGATGCTTCAATATGAAGCTCATGAACGGTAGGTATAGCTAGCGTTCCCTCCTTGAGCATTCGGGTGATTATCTCATTGACGCGGATGTCAATCAACTTCTTTAGAGCATCACTGTTGAGCACGTCCGAGTCCATCAAAGCAGAGTTACTCATAGCCGAGGAATCATGGCTTGGGGCAAGCTTGAGTTCCGATACCAGTCTGGACGGGCGCTCAATAAAGCACGTAAAGACTTTAGCAATAGCATTTGCCAAGTCCTTCGCTTGACTGTCGGACACTGTGTCCTTCCAGTATCTAAGCATGATGCCCTCACGGCCCTTAGTTGTTTCAACATTTACAGTGACAGGATACTCGGTCGGATCATGTGCCCTTTGCATCTCAAATGATATAATCTTGTCACCGGAGTCTTGAGGACCTGAACGATTTTGGATGGATAGAGTTGTGTTGAAAAGTGACTGTCCTTGTTGGCCAAGATCATGCTGGATCTGTGCCAGGGAGCAGTTCTGGTGTGGAAGGTTTCCAATATAATCACTCTGTACCAACTTGGAGACATCCTCTAATGTCTGACCCGACGTGAACTTGACTCTACAGCACAGCATGTTAATGAAAATACCAACAGCATCGTGGATTCCAGGAACGGGGGAATCACGACCAGCGGAAGGATAGCCAAAGCAGATGTCGTCTGAACCCGTGAAGCTCCGAAGAACAAGTGCCCAGGCCGAAAGCGTTAGGTTAGCAAGAGTGACGGAATTACTTTCGCAGACTTCTGCAATTCACCGAAGCGGTTAAAGCTCATTAAATAAGAGCCTAGCTGACGATCACCGCTTGACTTAGTAGAGAACGAGAGATGGCAGGGACGAGCTCCGGTGAGGTATTGTTTCCAGTGTTGCAACGCTTTGTCATGTGCTTGGCTCCTGGTGTACTTAATATAGTCACTGTAGCGAGGCCCGGATCCTGCAGGGAGCTGGTTGTTGTATGCCAATGCCAGGTCCCTGA